CGGTGCACAGGGAAGGGCAGCGGAGAATACACTGTAATGGCGGGGGAGGCATTGCATCTCAGCAGCACACGACTGCCCGGGAATGAAGCGACTCGTCTGCATACACTGGAATAAACTGAGCACCATTATTTCAGGTAATTGGTGAATGAAAGCAAAGGAAACATGAGCTAAGATTACCGTACCTGCCAATGCGACCCAAGCTTTGAACAAGCAGTCACAGCCTTGCTAAAGAGCTCACTTAGGCAAAGTATAACTAAATGACTAAATGACGCCAGGGGATTCCCGTAACTTTCAATCCAACGCCGTTTAATTACATCACAGCTGAAACATTGGCCAGTGCATTCGTGGAAAGGCCCCATTTATCTGATCTGTCACTGTGTGGGCTTACAAACCAAGCCCAGCCCATGGAGCCGGAGACAATCCTATCGAAGCAATCCGCGGCGGCCCACGTCCGTAAGCCGAGGGCGGGGCAGAGATCAGGCGCCTTTGCAGAGAGGCCTTTACACTATTGTCGTCAGTAGCTACCCCGATACAGCGATTGTCTTTCAGCGCCTGTCGTCTTCATCAAGGCGCTCGAGAAGGACAACTCGCCCGTAATCCGGGCCCGGTGCCGCTGCCACCGGGTGAACGGTTTGTGATTTCTGGCTGCCGACACCGCACCAGCGTCGTAACGGCATCCGCCCAGAAACCTTTCCAGTTCACCTCTGACATTCCGCAGCGGCGGCGGAGAATTTCAGGGCATTGAACGTCATCAGCGGAAATTCTCCGCGAGGCAGCAGCTCTAGCCGACATTTAGCCGCATGATTTCAGTTTCCAGTTGGAAACCCAAGCACCGATAGACCGTCAGTGACGCTCTGTCTTCAACGTCTGAAAACGTCTTCCCAAGCGTCACGAAAGGGCGTCACCGGCCGGAACATGAGGGCTCCACCCCAGCCGACGCGTGTCCAGCGCCGTCCGCCCCTCAGAGGCCGCGTCTGGCCAGGGAGATAATGACGGAGTGCCGGGCTCCCAGCACACCCAATCGACCATGAACCCTACTTCTGGTGCGAAAAGAACGCTGCGCTTCTACGGGGTCCTCAGTCGCCAGGTCCGCCCAGCACGGAAGAAATGGGCCGCTGCTAGCCTGACGTGAAATGGTGGCAGTGATCGAGAATCGATAAGAACTGAACTGGAAAAATAACGTAAAAACCCTACCGGGGCCTGGAGATTCCAATTCTCCTATTCCACCAATCGACAGAGAGGCGGGAATGACACGACCACAAAGAAGAAGTGGCAGTCCACCGTGGGCGGCGGCGAGAAAGGCCTTGCCGACATTGCGAAACAGCTGTCTGTGATGGCCGCACGAGCGGCGGCAGAGCGGGCAGATGGCTCCATTCTGACGCGAGCGAGAGGCCCGCCGACACCTGACATCTGCTGCGGAGCGGCACCGGTGGTCACACGCGGAGTTGAGGTGAGGTCCGCCCCACCCGTACCGGTCAGCGGTTGGGCTCGTTCAAACAGCGCGCGCATCGAACGCCCACTTCTGCAGGCTGCTCGACCGCGACCGGTAGTTACAACGGCTGCCGACTATTGATGGTCAGCGGGTTCGCTGCCTCTCCTCGGCAACGGCCAGCACTCACAAATCACAACAGCCAGGAATCTCAACAGCCAGCATTCACAACGGCCAGCAGTCCAACGGCCAGCAATCTCAACGGCTGCCCGCACTTGAGAAGCCCGCGTTCGTCCGGATGGACCCTCCACCTATAGAGGCAGAAACTGGACACACGCCTCTCTCACTCTCCTGTACAGCTAAAGACGAAGACAACCCCTCCTATCCCTAGAGACAGATCCGGAGACACCCCTTTCAATTGAAATTAAAGCTACAACGCCCCTCTGCTGCAGAGTGCAGCTGGTGGGGCTGGAACGGTCACTGGTCAGCGTCCAGCGACCAAAGTTCGCCACTGGACGGGGCACCGCCCCGCTCCCCAGGGACCTCGAGCAGACGATTTCATCAGACCCTCGACGGCTGGCCGGGCTGAGGATGCCCGGCGATAACCGCTGCCTCCTCAGTACGCTGAAGGGCAGCCGCGGGTGGGTGGCCTCTCCGTCATGGTGGCAGAACACCGAAAGCCGAAGGCGGTCGGCTGAGCCCCCAATCCGGCTCAGTTTTCTTCTGCCAGCGGAATACGGAACCGTGGCCTTGCTGCCCCGCCGCGGGTCGCCCACAGACAGGTGCATTAGTGAGTCCTCGGCCGCCCCCGCCTCCAGTCAGGAGTTCCATCAGCAGTCGGGATGTCAGCGGGACCGCCTCTGAGCCTCCCGGGCGGCAGCGGGGGCGGACAGGACTGCTGCTGACGCCAGACTGAGAGCATGGGTGTCCGACTCGCTCTTGTATCTGCTCAGTGAGCGGGGAAGAACATCGCGTCGGCGCTGCTGTTCGCCGATGCGGCACGGTTGCATGATTGGTCAGAAGGAGTCACTTAAAGGAGACTGCTGGACAGACAGAGACCGTGACTGGAAGGAGACTGCTGACTGCTGAGAAAACAAACGCATGGGAGGGTGGCCGCGACCAGAAGCTACATCGGCGCCCATCAGCGGAGATTGATGGCTGGATGAAAACATATGTCCACTGGCGGAGAAGACAAATGCACGCTGCTAATACAGACAAATAAACGTGGGTTGTTGTCAACAAACAGGGAAATACATATGATTCCTCGGAACCGAACGATAGCTGCAAAATGACAAAGAAACGGGAGACGGCATATCACCAACATGATCGATGCATCAATGGATACGAGACACTCATTCGCATTCAGAGTCATATTTCTGTCTGATGTTGATCAGAAAGATGCCATTGCTGAGCTATGGCCTCAGACAGTTTGACAAATGTTAGGACGGTTCGGAATGGGCCGGGACCGGAAACGGCAGCGCCCAGCGGCAAGAACCGGTCTCAATTTTTGAGAGGCGGGTAATACACCTGACTCCCATATGACAACATTATTGTCAGTGCAGTAGCACCTATAACGTACAGCGTATTATCAGTGGTCATTGCCGGGAGTACAACGGAACTCCTAAAAAAGTTAAAACAAAACTGACGATATCCATATCAGATATGCAGTGAGCCTCATAACTGTAGCACTTTTCACGCTTTCATCGTCGACAGGAAAGTACAATTTATCCTGGACCGATCTAGTTTTGTTTCACAAATCCATCGCTACCCTCCTGTGTCTGTTGGAGCTTAGCCCACCCTAAGGGACTCCCAAATCAGCCTCCCTTTCCCTCACGGCCCACGCACTCTCCCCTTCATTCCGACCCTTTCTAGTGCCTTATTCATCAAATTGCTTTGTTACCAAGTTACCCTGAGTGCGGGCGGCTAGGCTGACGGGCGCCTTTGTCCAGTGAAGTAGTTTCGCAAGCCGTCATCTCTGCCCACTGCAGACTCGCTGACCGGGACGGAACATAATCAGCCCAGCTGAGGAGGCGCAGAGGAGGGTAGAGGAGGAGAGGAGAGAGGAGAGGAGGGGAGACGACTCAGGGGAGCCGCCATCTCGCCAATCACTGCGCATTACCGCCGGATCAGCGGCGGGGCGTGCAGCGGAGAGGCAGCCAACCAAGACTCGATGACGTCACACCGACCACGAAACACTGGTGACGTCACAGCGGCACGCAGAACCCGTGACGTCACAGCTCCCAGCTGGTGACACAGCCAGCCCTTCCGATCAACTCACTGACCCACCGCTCTGCCGCGGCTCACAGCCAAGCGTACCGTACCGTGACTCCCGCGGAATACCCGGAAAATGCTGACTTCTCTGCCGGTTCAAGGCTGCAGCGCCGGTGCCGAACACAACAGACATGAGTAGTATGCAAATACGCACAGGTGGGCCGACTGCGGCGCAGGCGTTCTCAGAGGCAAACACGGATTCAATCACCGGATGGAAAGGGATACGAAGAACTGTGACGCCATGTGAGGCCTAACTCGAGGTACGAACTGAGGTCGCGGGGAGCACTGCTCCCTCGGACCACCACCATTGCCGAACAGACTCGACCGCGGCTCCGCAAAAGGAATGGCTGGTTCGCCAAATACGGGCAAACAGGAGCGATGGCCGTGCCGGCGGCGGTCGGTCACGTGACTGGCATCACCAGTGGTTGGACTGGCCAATGTGCGGTCAAGGCCCTTGTGTGGTGGGCCGGCGGTGGTAGGTCGGTCACGTGACGCGGACCGGCGCCGATCGAAGATAGGGGCGGCGCCGAGTCACTGCATCATACGACTACGGACCGGTCTGCGGCAAGCCGAAACTGACGACCGGTTAGGGGCTGGGGGCCGATCATTTCCGCTGAATGGCAAATTGGATGAGGAGCTTCCTTCCAGCCGATCACAGGTAACGACCAGCATAATCATGTAGTTTGGCCAATGGGTTGGGTTGAATTCCTCTGTTTCTCGCATACCAAATACAGACAATGCATCCCATACTATACGCATTACGCAGTCATCCCGGAGCTGCTATCGCTTACGCTTTACTTTCTTTCCAGCACATTGCAGTAGCAATGCGCTTCCCTCGGATTCCGGAAAATGGTATTCACCATCGAGAAATGTCATGACATATCCATGGCGACGGCTTTTCATTGAAAATATCACGCTATGGACGTTTGAATGGAAATCTCGGCATTATTTTCGGTCAAACCCTCTTCCCGCCCACAGCCGCTCCGTGAGAAATCATGGGATGACGCATGTCACATTTCGGGGATAAGGTCTACGGCGTGCGTGCTATATTGGACTGTAAATTTGATGGTTATAGAGGAAGAACGACCCAAGGACGTCTGTATCATTCTATGACCCAGCATCACGGGAGAAAGATGGAGAGCACAGTGTGCGCCGATCCAGCGTTAGACTCGGTGGGATGGGGGACCCGGGAGCGGGGGCCTGGCACACTGAACGGGCCCAGGTAGGCGCCAGCTGGCGGGGGCCCACTCGCATCACCCCTGTGGCCGTCCGCGCGGCGGGTTCCACGCCGGTGACTCACCTAAAGCTGGCACCGCCGCCACCGACAACAGTCCGGCTGTCCGAGAAACTCGTCCAGTAGATCCAGAGGACGATCAACACGCCGCAGATAGCAGTTCCACCACTCTCCTCGCGCTGCCCAGTCCCACACACCCACTGAGCCGCACTGCGTAAACACCACGCGTCAACTCCACGCGTGCGGGCGCTGACCGCTCCCAGCTCCGAAAGACACACCTCACCCCAGCTCACTCCAGTGGGGACTGGCCGGCCGCCGTGCGCCGCCGCCCGTCCGCCGGCCCGCACCGATTACCACCGCCCAGTCGCGGCGGTACTACGCGGCGCGATCGATGGTCGCTCAGCTGATCGGTGCTGAAGCCAAAGCAGGTCGATGGGACGGACACTGCATTGGTGCGGATTGCAGAGGACATCGCCGCGAGCTGAGTCTGGCGGTTTTCAGTAGGAGTCCAGAGTCTCAGCTCCTTTCAGGCTCAGGAGAGCCGCGCTGGCCGGAAAGGTAGATGGGGCTGTGGGAAGAGGAAAGGTCATGTTAGTGGCGGACAATATTCACAGGTTAGCACGTTACGAAGGTGAGTGGGAGTGACAGCAGGACACTCGGATCGGTAAAAACCATTTAAGCTAGAGCAGCTACAAGCGAAGCGAACACCTAGAATGAGGTGCACCAGACCGAAATGACTGCGGCTTACGAACTGGGTGGGAGCAGTCGCATTCGGTTGCCGAAAATGAATGTGTTCATTACATGGCTAATTTAAAAAGGAACACGTTCGTGTAAGAGATCATGAATAAAATACAACTGAGCTGTTTCCGGTACACCTATCATGTTACGTACGTCGATAAGGTAACGATGAAATCACGCATGTAACAATCAACGATCTTTATTGTACAAAACACGTACGTAAATATCAGACTTCGTTCATTCAGCTGCTGCTGACAAGGAAACGCAGCGCAAAGTAGCGTAAGCAGAATACAGGTGATGCTGGAGTTTTCGGATTCATCAAGCATGCTTTTCAAGTGCGTACCGGGAGAGTTGGTCCCTGTCCTCAACGGTACTCCGTGGGTCAAACAGACCTACAACTTCAGTGGCGCCGCCAGTGGGCGCGGATGTAGTTAGGCAATAGCAGGTGTCGCCAGTTTCACAGCATATTCCGAGCGAATCCAGATACCGCTCGGCGCTCACCGACGTGATCAGTGAACGCTGCTATCCAGCGGGCGATTGAGATGCCGTTTCTCACATGCATGTTTTCATTAACCAAACAACACCCCGTTCTTCACCCAAAATATCCCCCAAGACAGTTCCCACCCATCCGTCCCCACCGCCTCCCGTCCGATCCACCCCCGTTCCCATTCCCTCCTCCCATCACTTCTCACTGGACCTGGCGCTAACATGTCGCCGCACCGCCCGGTTCAGAATCGTATGCACATCCCTGCACGCAGTTTCAGCCACATCCAAGAGCTCCCCGAGCTTATCCACGTGGAACCGCTGGCTCATTTCGAGCAGCGGGAGTCTCCCGGAGCGGGGCAGCAAGGCGGCAGTCAGCTCGGGAGCCCCGGAGGTCTCCAGAGAGTTGAGGTCGACCAGGGGCTGGTCCCGCAGCACGGACGCCGAGCACGCGCACACGTAGTCGCGCAGAGCCACGCCGGCGTCGATGAGAGCCAGAGTGGCGGCGTTGACGCAGGTGGCGTACGTACCACCGTCCGCCTGTAAGGAAATACGGGGAGGGCAGTGAGAACAGAGCGGTTATGGGGCGAATGGAAGGCTATGACGGTAGGATTTATCAGTTACCCTTTGGAAGGACTTAGTGTGAAAAATTGCATCAATGTGCTTTAGTAGACCTAGTAGTGTATGTAGTATATGTTGGCTGCTAAGCAGCAAAGTATTAAGCAAGAATGTCAATCGCAAGAGCAGAACAAAGCGGTAGTGTCATGGAGAGCGAAACCTTTTGCAAAAAAGAAACTCAAGTCTGGATGTCATCAGCTAGCCATACAACCATGGTCACCAGGAACGTCAGAATTTTATCATTCCTAGCAATTAGCATGCTCACCTGCAGCACCTGCACGTAGACGTCGATCTGGGAGCGGGGGTACAGCTCCACCAGCACCACGCTCTCCAGTGTGTTCTGGAGCAGCGCACCGAGCTCCTGGGCGCGCCGGTCGCCGCCGCCGCCGGCGCGCCGGCCGCGCTCCCAGCCGCTGAACACTGCCTGTCGGTACTGACAGTTGATGCTGGCCACGTCGTGTCGGCGCTGCGCGGCGCGCGCCTCGTGCGGCCCGTACACGGTGGCCAGCACACGGGTGTTGCCCTGCTCCAGGTAGGCGCTGCCGTCGGCGCGGCCAAACACGCCCAGCCGGCACTCGACGTTACGGAGCTCGTGTGCGCGCCGCCCGTCCACGCGCAGACCCTGGTCGGAGAGCAGCTCCATAGTGGAAACGGCAGAGAATGCTGCGGGGGAGACGCATCGTCAGTTGGGCAAACGGCGCAGCCCAAACCGCTTCTGAGGATAATGCTGCTGAATTGATCAGGATCTGTATTGTGCTACCCCCCTATGCCTTGTGTCCCATCCAACTCCATTGATTTCCACAGAGGCTTAGTTTGAAGCATAATAAGCCTTGTTTACAATGTAAAAATCATCACATCAAACCATCTCTCTGATCTATACCCTGACTGCAAAGAACGGTCAACGGCACCAGGGTTGAAGAGACACACAAGCTTGGGTAACAAATCTGCACAAGGAATAAGACATAGGTACAATTTTTGCCACATAGTTAATACATCTGCACTTCTGATATGAAAAAGTTGCAATATAAAGGTCAATTCTTCCTTGGGTGACACCATGAACCAATTATGTTTCCAACAGTGCATACCTAATTTTTTCAGACAAGGCTTGGGACTACACAGCAGCACCTATCAACAAAGTACCAATACAGACCCACACGACAGCACACTGCTCCACAAAAGTAGCTATGCAGTGCACTACACCATGGTACCTAAATGATGAATCAGCACCACACCACACATTGACAGGTCTTCCTGGAATGGAAAAGACAAAAGTTCATTGAGAATACCATTGTAATACTTTGAAGTCTAGTTTCAAGCCATAAGCATAAAGAAATTGATAAATAAGGAGAAAAAGGACCATTTTCGCACTCTACAAGCAGGGCAGTGTTTCACTAGATGCTGCTACCATGCTGCTAGCATATTTCAAGAGCTGACGTCACAGCATGTGGCAGTGTTGGAGAAACAAGTTTGTTGACGTCTCCATGGAAACCCAATTTGACACATGTAGGCTGGCAGCGCACTAGCACCAGCTCAGTAGGCGGAACTATGGTCATGAGTACCCAAATATAGGAACGTTCCCATTTTTGGGAACGGAGTTCCCAAATATGGGAACGGGCGTTCCCATTTATGAGAACGGAAGGCAATTTTTCGGCCGTTCTCCCACTAAAACTCAAAAGTGCATCACGTCTCAAAAAAGTGCACGCTGATTTAACCCGCGCCCCGCTGGGGGGGGGGGGGCAGAATCTGCCCCCCCTCCCGTTTTTCGCCAATAACTTCTAAACGCGTTACGCCAGCGACGTCAAACTTTCAGTACCTTATCATACATCAATTTGACACCTTCCCTGAAAATTTGAGCGATATCCGTCGGAAAATTTTTGAGAAATTGACGTTTTAGTGACGTCATGTTCGCAATTTTCGCCTCAAAAACGGCAAAATTTCAAACGCCGCTAACATCTTCATTTTTGAAGGAATCAAGACGTAACAAAAAAGGTTATACGTGATTCTACTTTGTTTATCAAATGGCTATCTCGGTTTTTTGAAAATTTTGGATTTTGGCCAAAATTTTTCCAAAAAACTGACTTTTTTGGGAAAATATTTATAAAATCCAAAATTTTGAGTTTATCGAAAAAACCGGAATATATGTCAAAGAAGTGGTCTATGTGCACCTACATACCAATTTTTAGAAGAATCGGTTCAAAAATGTGTGAGTTATTCAAAATTTTATGACGTCACGACACACAAAAAGTTTGAAAAATGATTTTTTTGGAAGTTCTAGACCTCGTACGGAAACAAAAATAGCACCATTCGATTCGCCGTGAAAAACTGCATCGGATAGACACCTTTTTAGGCCTTAACAACCAACTTCAAAATTTGACCTCACTTGACCTGACCTTGACCTGACCTCGACCTCAAATTCATCCAGAGGTGGTCCATATCACTTATTGAGTGTGCATATTGAATTCCATGAGTAAAATGACCCATAAAACATGTGTTGCACATGCCATTTTCTATATTTTGTTTTTGGTGACCTGACCTGACCTGACTTGACCTTGACCTTGACCTTTGAATGACATTGTGTGCAACGAATATTGTCTTGGTAGTCTAAGAACACGTTTTGGGCAATCAGTCTCAGTCCATTCTTCGGCAAATACGGTGCAAGGCCGATACTGTAGAAACTTGCATTTTGTACCCTTGACCTGACCTTGACCTGACCTCTGACCTACTTAAGCAAAAAAATTGGGGCTCTTAAGATCCGCCTTGTTGAGAGCTTTCGATTGCCGTTTTCCCCGTCTTTCTACGACCATCGGTTCGGAAGTTAGACAGGGGGGGGGGGCAGAATCTGCCCCCCCCCAGCAGGGCGCGTATGGCTGAATAGCCCAGCGGGGCGCGGGTTAACCCGCGCCCCGCTGGGCTATTCAGCCATACGCGCCCTGCTGGGGGGGGGGGCAGATTCTGCCCCCCCCTGTCTAACTTCCGAACCGATGGTCGTAGAAAGACGGGGAAAACGGCAATCGAAAGCTCTCAACAAGGCGGATCTTAAGAGCCCAAATTTTTTTGCTTAAGTAGGTCAGAGGTCAGGTCAAGGTCAGGTCAAGGGTACAAAATGCAAGTTTCTACAGTATCGGCCTTGCACCGTAGTTGCCGAAAAATGGACTGAGACTGATTGCCCAAAACGTGTTCTTAGACTACCAAGACAATATTCGTTGCACACAATGTCATTCAAAGGTCAAGGTCAAGGTCAGGTCAGGTCAGGTCAGGTCACCAAAAACAAAATATAGAAAAGGGCATGTGCGACACATGTTTTATGGGTCATTTTACTCATGGAATTCAATAGGCACACTCAATAAGTGATATGGACCACCTCTGGATGAATTTCAGGTCGAGGTCAGGTCAAGGTCAGGTCAAGTGAGGTCAAATTTTGAAGTTGGTTGTTAAGGCCTAAAAAGGTGTCTATCCGATGCAGTTTTTCACGGCGAATCGAATGGTGTTATTTTTGTTTCCGTACGAGGTCTAGAACTTGCAAAAAAATCATTTTTCAAAATTTTTGTGTGTCGTGACGTCATAAAATTTTGAATAACTCCCACATTTTTGAACCGATTCTTCTAAAAATTGGTATGTAGGTGCACATAGACCACTTCTTTGACATATATTCCGGTTTTTTCGATAAATTAAAAATTTTGGATTTTATAAATATTTTCCCAAAAAAGTCAGTTTTTTGGAAAAATTTTGGCCAAAATCCAAAATTTTCAAAAAACCGAGATAGCCATTTGATAGACAAAGTAGAATCACGTATAACCTTTTTTGTTACGCCTTGATTCCTTTAAAAATGAAGATGTTAGCGGCGTTTGAAATTTTGCCGTTTTTGAGGCGAAAATGGCGAACATGACGTCACTAAAACGTCAATTTCTCAAAAATTTTCCGACGGATTTCGCTCAAATTTTCAGGGAACGTGTCAAATTGATGTATGATAAGGTACTGAAAGTTTGACGTCGCTGGCGTAACGCGTTTAGAAGTTATTGGCGAAAAACGGGAGGGGGGGCAGATTCTGCCCCCCCCCCCAGCGGGGCGCGGGTTAAGTGTCTACTAAATCTCCATAAAGTTATCTTTAATCTGACCGTAGAACAAGGAAATTGACCGTGGAATGATATTTTTAATGATTTTTTGAAAATGACAGAATGGTGGAAATATGGGTTATACGACATTTAACATGCAATTTTAAGGAAAATGAAGCATTTTTTAGTTTGAGGTAAAGTATAATAATTTTCGCCTGGTTATGAACTTTCATACTATCGACACCAGATGCTGACAAATGCAAGCGAAGACGCGGACGGTCCCGAGGAAATATTGTTGACTTTTGTGTCGGGGCGGACGACCGCGTGGAACGTGAGTGAATTTACCGAGCTACTGTTGTAAACTCAGTTTAAGCGGTTGAAAATTATCCAGCTGTATTTTATCATCCCGGGAAGCATATTTTATTTGGATGCTAGCTGTTTAGAGTTGTTTTATAAGGAGCGTCATGAGCGTGGTTTTTGTCTTCCGTGTTTCTAAGCGTGATCGTTTTGGGGGAATTTCTCTTATATAGCTCACTCTGTGTGGCTTATTTATAATTTTTATGCTGATTTCGATAATTCCTCGTGCCCATCCTACCAGGCCTTTTGCCACTTACACTCATCAAGAAAGGAAAAAACTAGATTTTCATTGGGACTAGGTGTTTTGAGGGTGTAACATATTCAGCGTTCCCATTTTTGGATACTTCCTTGTACTCGTCAACTATCGGTGATAAACAGACAGGTGCTTGACATGTCTCCACCCTCAGCGCGGACGGTGGATATAGGTATGGAAGACCTTGTTGAACATCGCTGAGCGTTGTGAATTACGTAATCCTGCAGAGGGGGGCGTGCCCGCTGCGAGATCGACGGGAATAAAAGCGCAGAAGACCGGGCGAAACATGCGACGGTCTTGCCGGAAAGGTCATCTGATGATTGTTGCGTTAACAATAATTTGCGGCGTTGGACGTGATGCTTGTTAATGAAAAGAGCCCCTGAAAGGCGTCGGTGAAATCGTTCCCAATTTTGGGTACGCCGTTCCCATAATAAGGAACGCTTGCAGCGCCAGTGTACGAGAGCGTTCCCAAATTTGGGCTCGCGGCCCGGATGATGGACTGCTTTAGAAATAGGGGAACGATTTGAAACTACGATGGGCCTTACAATATCAAACTCTTTCCCAACAATATTGAAACAAATATCAGGCGGTTCACGATCGTTTTATATTTTTTGGACGTCATTTAACGGTTCTTTTTCTTGTTTTAAATAATGCCTACATGGCGTTCCCATATTTGGGTTTATCGTTCCCAAACATGGGAACGAAAATGCGTTCCCGAAAATGGGTACGCTTGACCATAGTTCCGCCTACTGAGCTGTTGTGTAACTCAAACTAGGCCCAGGCAAGAACTTGCCGGAATTGAGCTTTATGTTTCGGTTCAAAGCCAATGTTTGATTCAGTTAGTGATATTGAATTTACAGGTACCTATACAAATTTATTTTAAAAAAATAAGCCTGACATTCAACACTGACACAGGAAGTTGAAGTACTGAAATGTCAACAATGATTATGCATATATATTGATAGAGACAAGTAGAAGAACACGGAACAAATAGTACATGAATGCATGGATTAGTAGTGAAAATGTCATATGCATGAATTTTTAAAATCAAGACTTTGACGCACTGTGACGACTGGACGAGCGCTATGTCATGCTGATGAAGATTTAATAATAATCAAAACGCGTCCATGCACTATTTGTTCAATGAGAATGCAACAATATTTACCCACAACACTTCAGATTCAAACTTAATCTAATAAAAAAACGAACTGAAACCCGTACCAAATATTGATTTGGGAGCTCAAATGCGAGAAAATCAAACGCGTGTTCTCCTTTCCCAGGTGTGACCACGATACCACTAATAGGGGTCAAAATAATGGATATATCATATGATATTCGCCTCTAAGAGCAAAGCTTCTTCTGTTTGCACCAATCGCGCCATATACGTAGCTACTAAATACTGCCAATTCTTCTACGCTCCCAAATGACGAAATTCCTTTACGAGTGCAATAAAGCAAACATTTTGAATAACATTTTCAGTCATATAAAACCGTACTAATGTTAGTTATTCTACCTCCTTTACACCTAAAAAGCCTTTTAAATTCATTTATTGGTTTTTCTGTAACGTGAAGTTCACAGGATCAAAGTCAAGTGAAGGCAATTGGTGTGCTCAGAGCCAGAATTCTTGGATTGGGATGGGAAATGGGAGAGGGGAGGGAGAAAGAGGAGGGGGATGGGAGTTGGGAGTTGGGACACGACGCGCCGGCGCTGGTGTTTGGCTTTGGCACCGCGGCGTGGTCGGGTTGGTCGGTGGCCGAGGAGCGGGCGCCGCGGCGCGGAGAGTGAGAGGGTCTTGGACATAGGAGAGTGCGTAGAAAGGCGCAGGGCGGTGTGGTCGCTCCATCTATGGAGACGCACAGACTGAGACGGCAAAGTGTACCTACTCACCGATGGCTCTTGCTTTTTGTTCCGAATAGCTGCTGGTGATACTTGCGGTTTCAGTTTTGGATCACCGATCGCACAAGAGAAAGGCGGCTAAACAAAGGAGTTCTCGCTGCTCTTCCGGGACACTAAGACGATTATCATCAGGCATCGCGCCATCAAGGTGGGTCTCACGATAAAACGTCATCTCAATCTGAGGGCTGTTCACGGGCCCGGTGTGCGGTCGGACCGCACACAGCCTCCAAGCTCCGCCCACTGCGTCCCTACGTCAGCCTTCCGTCACCGCACACAGCGATCGCTGTGGCCGGTCGGGACTGGCCACAGCGGACCGTCCACCGCACGCAGCCGTGACGTCAGAACCGCCTACCCATCCCCTACCCCCACGCCTGCTGGACGCACCGCACACACCGCACGCAGCAGTGTGCGGTGCCCGTGAACACCCCTCTGAATTCTGAGTTCTCAATCAAGGCAAACTTATTTAAGATGTAGGTATGAAAATCGAATTCGCTGGCCTATAGCCGGTATCCCAGCTTTCACAAAATGTAGCATGAATGGTGTGACATGCTGGACTATCATTCGCATTTCGCAATCACATGCACGCGCTCAGTAACTTGCATTATCTTATTTTCAATCTTCATCTCAAGGTCACACGATGACCAAGGGCCAACTGACCGGTCAAGTAAAAATTTCACTTCTCCAACACATCTTGAATGAAGCACCGTGCACCGATGCTTCACCCTCCTCCCTAGCCCCCCCCCCCCGCCCCCGTACTTTTGAGGGCAGGCCAGGTGCCAGGTGTGCCGGTCGCCCGGGCTGGGCCTGACTGGACCGTACGACCCCTTCTGCCATTATCTGGTAGGGGTGAGTCTGCCCCCCCCCCCCTTGTTTTCGACGCCGACGGTTGGAAGTCCGCTCGGACGTCTCCGGCCCAGGTGTTTGCTCGGATCGGCCAGGTGCGGCTATGTTTGGAGACCGGACCCTCTTGACGTAGGCCCTTTCTTTGCTGATTGCCCGTTTTCGTTTACCCTCCGGCCATTTCGTCTGCGCTGTTCCTCGTGTCCTCATTTGCCGTCGTATTTAGCTGTCAGCTACGTGTTTTCCGATCAGAGTGCTGTTCCGCTCGGCGCTGTGACGGACGTGCCTCTGTATACTGTCTGGACGGCCGCACCGTTTTGACGTTTTCCGCAATGCAGAAAATCGTTTGTGTTGTGCTGAGAAGTAGATTGTAAAAAGACGGTGAGTGGGCTGAAAGAACTTGATCGTGCGTCGCGTGCTGTGCTACGCATATAATCTGGCAAAGTGCAAGCTACCGAACACCGTCCCCTTCTCTCGTCCTGGTTTGTTGAATTGTGAGCCTCTTTGTCGCCTGAATTACGACCTCTTTCTTTCCCAGTGGCCAGTACCTACTACGCTGTACGGTGCGTCTGAATTGAATTAGGTCTTATGTGTGTCTCGTTCATTGCTTCTCGTTAATGGCCTTTTGTTGTCTGTCTCGGTAAACCGTCGCTTCTATTTTAGTGGGTTTAGGCTTAATGAGTTTGTAGTTCGATTTTACCTGCGTGGTGGCCACTGGCCCTATTTCAATTAGACATTTTCAACGTTCATTACTTCACTGCATCTTTGCCGTGCGGGGCCGACTTTGCCGACTTCGCCGAGCTCCGGTCGAGACCCCACCCCATGCACCGCTGCGCTGCCGTGCCGCCGCGCCGCCGCCCAAAGCCGGTTCGTCACGGTGTCACGCCTGCCCATCTTCGGAGGATTTATCAGCGCTCGCTATTCAAGTATCTCGACCCTCAAGAAAGTCTTAGATCTGCCGTTCACATACCTGTCCATCATAATTTAGTCACACTTAGTCAGAGCCGGATGAGCCCCGGGCAGTGCATCTCCCTCCTCCAACCTAGTGGGGACCAATCGCAACTGTGCAACCATATATGAAATGCTCTTCGGGCCAATAATAAGCTGCCACGCAGGTTAGAGGGCTACGCCCTAAGGTTAGAATTGTTCTGCTCTGGCCTCACGGACGGAGGAACCGGGAGAAGAGCTAGAGCCTGATTGTGTACTTGTGTACTCGTACCTAGTGTATGCAACTGCATACCATCTATCTGACACGAACGCACCGTACACCTGGGCTGACGCCCTACATGTTCGGTTTGATATCCATTTGGACATAATGTAAACAATATTCGTCTTGTTTATTTGAACATATTGTAAACAAAACTCGTAAAATAATGGCGGTGAGACGGGTAGGGTGTAAATTTCACTGTCGTGTTCCAATCAGTTGAGTAGCCGTACGCATCCGTTCTGACTGTCAGGACACGGAACGATTGATGAACTGTCAACTGAACATCTCGATATGCTGCTGGCCCAATCTCCCTCCCCACGTCCAGCACTCCGCCGCTCCGGCCAGACTCGATCATATGACAGTTGGCACTCACGTGGCGCCCACATGTAAGCGCACATGCTTACTCTACTTCCGCGAGACAGACACATACAATATACATACACAGCTGGCATAGGGCACCCTCGGAGCAGGGACACTGGCGGGTCCAGGGGAGGGGGCATTCAAAGGCGGCGGAACGGGGAGGGCACCGGGGCACCGTGCCCCCCTTTGATTTCGGCATTTTAACATTAGCCCTATGGCCCCTATGGGCGTTGCATGGAAAGAATGGGATCAAAAGTCGTCAGTGCCCCCCTTAATCGAAGGTGTTCCGCCGCTACTGGGGGCATTTGGGGCAGATCGATTAATGATGTCATATAATTACATAGTGAGAAATGCATACTACTGGATAGCCAAAATGTCAGGGATGCGGAGCCGTGGAAATTTCAGACGGCTCCGGCTCCGGCTCCGGCTCCGGAGAAAAAAACAGAGGTCATAAAAGTCGCCAACTCGTCCACACCCGTGGGTAACCAATTCAAGTCTCTCACTGACAAGCCAGGTAACCACTGAAGGCAAAGCCATTTTAGAAAAGAGGAACAAATCTTTCTAGAATATAGAGCAAACATTGATTTCCTTATCTCTGTAAAAAAGCAAGTGTTTTTTCATATCTTCAAAAGAAAGGTGCACAGTCAACAAATTTAGTGAAAAGTGATGTCGTGTGCTACCTGAGATAGCGCCGGTCTCAGGTAGCACGCTCGGCAACTTTCCTGCCACGAACATTTACACATCTAGGTAGCAAGCAAGTACAAGTACTTGGACTTAGATATGCGAAACCAAAATCTGTTCATCATACGATCAGTTTGTGGTAAATTTGGAGTCTATATTTTTGCATTTATTAACGACTTTTCTTCCAAAAAAAACATTAAAACAGGGATTTGTCATTCGTTTCGTTGCTCTTTTTGTGGCAATCTTCGAGCAAGTAACAGAGAAATAGAGCTGGGAAAATGCATTACCCCAACCTTCCGGCCACGGGGTAGCCACCCTGGTAGCCACCGAGAGCCAAGGGGGAGCGGCCAATGGGAACCGCCGACAGCGAGGTAGCCAGCGTCTGATTGGCAGACTGAGGCCAGTCTGGCGTCAGCTGTTTGGAAGGGTTTGAAACTACAGGCGGTCACCGTCTAATCCTTTAGCGTCTTCCCTGACTTTCTCTTTGGTGTTGCGTATATGTGCCGTGGAACATTTGAGAGTGAGACGTTGGATATTCTTGTATTCTTGTATTCTTGTATTTTCATAAATCACCAACAGGCTTACGCCCAATGACAGGTGAAGTCACACGCACACGCATACATCAACATGCATAAATACCCCCCCCCCCCACACACACACACACAAACCACTTCTTTGCATCCGACAGAGGCCGACTGTCACATAACGCACGCCAGTGTTGACGCATACGCCGATGCCTCACGCTTGAGCCGCCCGATCGAGTCAAAGAAAATATCTGACCTAGGCGAGAACTCAAGAAACTGATTGACGCAGCGAGGAATGCGCACAAAAAGCCCTCCTGATATGGTGTTCACCCTGGCGAACGGCACATCAATTAATGGTGTGTTTCTGGTCGGCCTCGCGGATATATGGAGTTTAAAAGACCCAAGTAAATATGATGATGAGATGAAGCCTTTAAAAACCTTGCATAAAAACAGAACATCACACTTTGCGCGTCGTGCTCCTAAGTGTGGCACACGAAATGATGACAATAGGTCCGAGTACTTGAGCGACGAATTACAATTCGTGGTGCGACAAGCCAGCCACATTAAAAACTTGTGTTGCACCCTCTCCACATATGTGCAAATAAGTGCAAGGAGTGGAAGCCAAAGTTGAAGTATGACTATGCAACGAGCGAAAATAAAGTGCGGACTTCCATATCTTGCGAAACCATGGAAGGTCTGCAGTTTTATGGCGTGAATTCGAAGAGGCATCATCAATTGGTGCACAGAAAAATCCTAATATTTTGACTGCTAGTGTCCGTTGCTGGATCTGGATCTGAATTTGCTTCAGGAGAGGCTCATGCTCATTGTTGTCCAGGAAACCAGGTGAGTGTTTAAGTATAAATTATTTGAGAGGAGACATAATGTATCGAATACAATTAAGGTGCCTGTCACTTCAACTTAGACCTACCTATGTACCTAATTATACCAACCGAAGTTTCCATACCATGTTAAGAACTTAATTTTAGCAACATTATAATTATTTTTGCAGTAGGTGATTATAGGATATCTATGCGTTTTTTTTCTACATTTCTACCGCAAGTTCTGCACAATTTTATTTAAACTAATTTATTTCCTACGCATGGTACCGCGCGGAGCAGCTTCTATGTAGAATCCGTCGTCTCCCCTACCAGCAACCATGACAAGCGGAGCCGCTGGAGGGAGGCCCAACGGTCAGGGGACGCTGCCGGCGGCTAAAGTCAACATTCCGGGCACTTCCGAGGCGACAGGGACGCGGGTGCGCGTGGGTCGGCGCGCCGGCCCACCCGCCGTGCCAAGGGAGAGCGAATGGTGACCAGCTGACCGCTCCGGACGCTGGGGACCTCCCCGCCGTGTAGAACGTCCACTATGACCGTCTGCCCACAGCAGGACTCTGAGCCGTCCAACACGGCTGTCAACGGAGTAGACGGGGACGGCCGGGTTTCTGGTCCGTCCCAAAATGATCATCTGCCATCTGCACATAATGGTCGATGACTGCGAAATTGTAACAAATCAACGCTTTCCAGGAATCAAAACAGATCGACATTTTATGTCTGACTAACACACTGCTGACGGAAATCATACAAAAGGACTTTCTAGTTTCTAGCCCGCGCCGGGCCGGCCCGGTGCTCGGCGCCAACCGAGCCGGGCCGGTGGGGGGGGGGGGGGTAGGCCGTCTGAACACCCCTCGTTTAAACTCGGCTCCTGGGCCACGATACGACGTGGGCGAGGGGGCGGTCGAATGGACCCCTCGGTTTTTCGCAAATAATTGGCGTAAACAGTGGCCGATTGCGACGAAACTTTCAGTGCCCTCAGGTTAATCAATTCTACATCTACTCTTAAGATTTCATTATCCTGACCCAAATGACCTTTGACCTGTGATCTATTTATCTAGACCATGTTTGACCGGCATCACGATTCGGCGTATGTCGGCTCGCATTAGCCGCGCGCTTGCAGTCCTTTCGTGGTTTCAACTTTCACGCGTACAAACATGTGATATGATGCTGGTTCCATGCATTATGGTGGGTGTCAGCTGTCAAGGTGACCCAGAGGTCAGGTCAGGTCATTAACTTTTGATGACCTCGTTTCACTTTTCGCGAGTTTTACTTGTTTCTAATCTAGTTTTTGGTGCTAATTTCGAATTTAGCAACCATTTGAACATTTACGAGGTAGTTTTGGTGCCTTCGTTACATGCTACGCAGCTGTCAGAGGCCGTTGACACCTACTGCGAATACCTGGCAGGACCGCTATTGGTTGATCTGACCTGACCTGACCTGGCCTAAGTGGATGAAAACATCATTGATATCAAAACTAACAGGATATTCGTGATCAGCAACCCTAAAAAGTAATATTCTCACCCAACGACGCTCTAACAGGTCCCGACTTTACCGTCGTTTGGGTCATTGTTCTGACCCGGAATGTCAACCAATGACCTTGGACCTTAAAAATTAGGTATCATCGGCTTCCTCTTGTCACGGGCAACACGTTCGTTTATACCGCAAAGCTCTAGCTCGATCAGGGGCCAAACGGCAAGGCGGGATCCAACGGGCCCCCTCCCCCTCCCCTACCTTCGCTGCTGGCAAGACACCAATTCCGGCGAGGGTTGAGTGGCATTCGAAAGAACGTCAAAAAGCAAGACGAAACATTTCGGTCATCTTTAGGTCAGGTCAAAGGTCCGGTCACCAGAGGCCATCAAAGGTAAAATGTTGCCTACTTCAACATTCTTCGAAAATCCGGTGCATACCTAACTTGGGAACCAGTAGAGCTACAGCGCTGCGAGAAATCGCATTCGATAACCCTTTTAACGCTCGATCCGTAATGTGTCCTCATAGTTGACCCCACGTCAAGGTTTAGTCTCTAGAGGGCAAAAAGTAAAGAAGCCGTTTTAACGAACTGTTTTTCTTCAATAGCTTCAATAACACAAAGGCCCAGGTAGCCACCTGGTAACAACAGGAGCGTCGTGGGTAGCCACCAGCCCACTTTTATGACCTTTGGAAAAAAATCGGCTCCGGCTCCGGCTCCGGCTCCGGGTGAAATGTTATGGCGGCTCCGGCTCCGGCTCCGGCTCCGAGTAAAATGGTCCGGCTCCGGCGGCTCCGGCTCCGACTCAGTACATCCCCTATGCAATCAATTAAATACGGGTGGAAGAAAAATTGGATTGGTTATACGCGTTACTCTTTGCCATGACCGGCTCACCGCGACCCCGCGCAAACGCACCTCGGAGAGAACTGGCAGAACAAAGGACTAGGAAGTAGGAAGCGATGGCATTGGAAACGTAGTCGCCGCCAATCGGAGTTCACTGAACTATCGTATGCTGACACCCGTCTCGGCTGCATTGGGGGGGGGGGGGGGAAGAGACGGTGCTGGGAGTCGCAGTCCACTGCACTGGCTTCAAAACAATGGCCGTCACCTGATGACCGGTCCTCATGTTCTGGGGATGCAGTAGACGTGGGGGGGGGGGAGGAGCAGACAGGAAGTTGATTGCGTACTGTGGGATACTGGGGATATTCGGCTTTTTTCATTCACTTGATGGCCCATGACGTACTATTGGTCTCAAGATAAGAGCCCAGGCGACCTGTAGTTTTGATGCGGTGAATACCCTTACCCTCGCCACAACTCGGGCCGAGTGCACCCCTCCTCCCAGCCAGCGCCACCCCCACTCGAGTTGTGGCGAGGGTGAGGGTATTCACCGCATCAAAACTACAGGTCGCCTGGGCCCTTATCTTGAGACCAATAGTACCATATGTTTTACTGCCTTGTACTGTCAAACCGAACTAGGTCAATTATTTTTTTCCTCTTCAAAAAATAAAAAGGAGCCGGAGTCGCCCCCTTTTTTGGCGGCTCCGGCTCCGGCTCCGGCTCCGGGCTATATTGTTTCACGGCTCCGGCTCCGGCTCCGGCTCCGGCTCCGGCTCCGGGCAAAATATGCCGGCTCCGGCGGCTCCGGCTCCGACTCCGGCTCCGGCTCCGCATCCCTGCAAAATGTACATATCTTTTTGGACTTAACACGCACGGGCACTTGGATACACAGACGAGCTTTTTTGGGGGTCCACAGGACAGCAAATTGAAATCCACCTCTGGGAGTTCATTGAGTATGCATACTCAATGATGTATCGAGCATGCTCGATGCATTATGCATGCACTTTGCCGCCCGCATACACCTCTTTGCGACACCTCTGGCCTGCTGTCCGGTGTCCCCTGCCCCTACAGCAGTGGTTCAGTCGACTTCGTCCGCCCCTCTCGCTCCTCACCCTCCCTCTCCCTCCCGCCCATCCCCGGTCGACGGACGGACGGGCGGGCCACTCCAAGGTCATCCCAGGGCCGGGACCGGCGGGCGACCCAGTCTTGGAACGGCCGCGGCCGCGTGAGGAGGGGGGACGAACAGCTGACTGTACCGTGTGCCGCCAGGTCGCTGAGCCAGCCCACGTGAGCGGCGGTCACCGGAGGAAGCGAGGTTGACTCCGAGAGGATCGTCAGAATCAGGATCAGTATGGACACGTGAGTTTAGGAGGCGCGGTACAAATGGCAAGTCCTTTGTCTGTTTCAGTTCGTCTTTGTTTTGTATTCCCCTCTCAGTTCCTGCATTTCTCATTTCATTCATTATGTGATATCCTATCCAACGAAAAGGTTTTTTTAAGCAAAAGAACATGTCGACAACCCTGTAGGGCAGGCTGTAACTTTTTCCGGGCAAACATGGTCTCGAGAAGTAGGTCACAGGTCAAACTTCAATTTGAATTGGGTCAGGGTCACGAAATTTTCAGTCTGTGTAAAATTGATCAACTCGGGGCTACTGAAAGTTTCGTCGCGATCGTTCGCTTTTTGCGCGAATAATTCGCGAAGAACCGATGGGGTGGGGGTCTATCCGACCCCCCCTACACATGCGAGGGTTAATTGATTGCAGGACTGTAGTGCCGTGCTTGCACGCACGTCCCCATTTTATTTTCGAACATAATGACGTCATCTTAGACAGTGATCAGTCCCATCGACGAGCACCAGCATGGTGTATCTCATCCATGGTGAAATCTTATCCCACGTTTCTTCAGGCGGATATTTCGAAATGTTGCTCGCTACGGTGTGCGCTTGTGGCAGCATACTCGTAAAGGGTTGATATGGGGATGTGATGATATCACTGATATCCTTTTACAACCAAATCTCGATTTAATTCACTTATCATTCCCTGTTTCTGGCACTTTGACATTCTAGCCGTCTGCCTTACTCGTCTTTGTCCATGCACACAAATAAGCCGGCAGCATGCATCACATTCGACGCGCCCCATAAGGTTGGCCGGCTACAAGGTGCGAGATCTCCCTGCACGTGCCTCCGTCTTCTACCATCATCACATCTCATTCACGTCTTACAAACTCCCTCAGAGCGCGTGCCAATGACGGGTCCAGGGGAGGGAGCATTGAGGCACTCCATCTCGCACCCGCGAAACCTTAACCCTCGCCCGTATAGGGGGGGGGGGGTCGAACGGCCCCCCCCCCTCGGTTTTTCGCGAATAACTCGCGTAAAAAGCGGCCGATCGCGACGAAACTTTCAGTACCCTCGCGTTAATCAATTTTACACCTACCCTGAAATTTTCATGACCCTGACCCTAATGACCTTTGACCTGTGACCTACTTTTCGAGACCATGTTTGGCCGGAATCGCGATTAGGCGTATGTCGGCTCGCATTAGCCGCGCGTTTGCAGTCTTTTCGTGGTTTCAAGCGTTCAAACATGGGATATGATGTTGCTCCCATGCATTAGGGTGGGTGTCAAGGTCACCGGAAGGTCAGGTCAGGTCATTGACCTTTGATGACCTCGGTTCACTTTTTCGAGTTTTACATGTTTCTAGGCCAGTTTTTGGAGCTGAATTCGAATTTAGCAACCATATGAACATTTACGAAGTAGTTTTGGCACCTTCGTAACATGTTACGAAGCTGTCAGAGGCGGCTGCCACCTACTAGGAATACCCGGCTGGTTGACCTGACCTGACCTGACCCGACCTGGCCTAAATGCATGAAGACATCATCTGTGATCAAAACTAACATGATATTCGTGATCGGCACCCCGAAAAACCCATTAGCAGCCACGCTTTACGACTTTCTAACAGGTCCCGATTTCCCCGACTTTTGGGTCATTGACCTGACCTGGAAGGTCAACCGATGACCTAGGACCTTAAAATTGGGTATCATCGGCTTCCTCTCGTCACGGGCAACACGCTCGTTTTTTCCGCGAAGCTCTAGCTCGATCAGGGGCGAAACGGCAAGGGGGGGGGTCCAACGGACCCCCCCCCCCCCTTATACGTTCGCGGCTGGAAAAACACCAATACGGGCGAGGGTTAAATCGATGAAAATGTAACTGTTGCGACATAGAATATACTGAAAACTTGACACTTATCAGAAAAGGTTCTCTTTAAACTCTACAACGATGTGTGAGGAATTGAAGTCCTAGAAGTTTTTGAATTAAGATATTTTAGGGGCATGCCTCCACAGCGTCCAGAATTCTCTTTCTGCATCTGCCAGTGGCACGTGCAATCGTTACATCCTCCAGTCATGTTACTGCACGTGTCGAGTTGAGCCAATGGTGATGAGTCACACACCGGTCAATGTCCAGCTCACAGTGTCCAGCTGTGCGGTGGCCAACGACGGGCTGCACGCGTATAAATCCTCTCACCGTCCCTCAGTGTTTATTTGTAGGGTAACGACCCGGCCCGACCCGACCCGTGACGCTTTTCACAGCCTTTTATCTCGGGAATTGCTCGACCGATCGACAAACTACCGGTCGACAAACTGATGTCTTTATCAGACAGACCTATCCTTAACCCTCGCACGACCAGGCCATTTCTCATAACACGAACGACCAGGGGGGGGGGGGGTTGTTACGACCCCCCCTGGCGTTTCGAAACGGAAGGTCGTAGAGCTTAGCGGAAAAGACCAACGGATTGCTCTCAACGAGATCTCGCGATTGGTGGTATATTTTTTGGTCCTAGGTCAACATTTGACCTACTTTTGACCGGTCAAAGGTCAAATTTTCGGAAAAATAGACTTTTTTCAACTTTCGGCGGCGATTGCGGCAAAACGGTGGGAGATATCGACTTGAAACCTTCACTATCGTGTTCCTTGATCAATTCTCTATCGTTTGGTATGTATTTCGTTTCCCTAGCTCTAAAAATGGCGCGTTGGGAGCGCCGGAAGTCGGCAAGGTCACAGTCGGCGGCAGAAATTCGAAAAATCAAAATTTAAATTTTTGAAATCTGATTGTATTTTTGGATTTGGGAGGTCCATTTGCTCCCTGTAGAAGCTAATATTGCTGCATATTCCCATTGAGGTGACAAGAATTAGCAAAATAGTGGTTCGGGCGCTTTTCAAAAATAGTACCGGACGCTGTTCCTCTTGTGACGTCATAGCTCCGTGACCTGACCTGACCCGGTCAAATTTCTTATACCATATGATAGCCAATACTTGCCCCAACATGCATGGGAAGTTTCATCACGATCCATCAACCGATGTCCGTACCACCGGCAGGAAACCTCGGGCGTTGGCACTCAGTTTGTGAAAATCCGGCCGGAGGCTGTACCTCTTATGACGTCATAACTCCGTGACCTGACATGACCCGATCAATTTTTTTTCGGCAAAAGATGCGCAAAGGTTGCCCCATAAGGTACCCAAAATTTGGCGGCGCTGCGCGCCGCCGTTTTTGCACTATTTCCGAAAAACCTCAGGGGGGGGGTTGATACAACCCCCCCCTAGGCGTTCTAGGGTTAAAATCATTAACGCGATTTTATGCGTATGGCATAGTCATGGAAATCTCATTACAATCACAGGCACAATATTCCCATACCAGTGAACGGCGATGACTGGAGAGAAAGGCGACGTCATGACGCCGTTGATTCAAACGGCTAAAACATTTTCTGAGGTTCTGACACCTGAATGAAGGCACTTATCGCGGACTCTTGTGCACTGTATGACCTTTGTTCATACGTCGGACGGCTCATTGCACCATTTCTGTGAACGACTTGTGAGAGCCAGACATGATTTGAGGATAGATTAGAGTGGAATGCTGCATTGCATGCTGTCTTTGATAGCTTTTCAAACAGCGCTCGACCTGGATACGCTGATAGCGTCTGGCCGGTGCCTCTCAGACGGGCCCCGCCGGCCGCTGCCCCTGCGTCAGGACGTCCCGCCCGCCGCCGCCCCGGATGACCAACCGCCCCTCCCCACTACCTACCCAGCCCGGGTCCAGTGTTACCCTCAGCCGGGCTGAGTCGGCTGTTATCTAACCCAAGCCACAGCCGGTCACATGCCATCATTCACAGCCGGGCTCAGCTATTTTTATCCCAGCCGACCGACCCGAGACGCTGCCCTTCCCCTCCCCCGCCCGCGGGACGTCGCCGTCCTACCCTGGGGCGGTGCGGTGCGCGGGGTCTGCGACGGGGACGCAGTGATGGGACAGGCGCCGCCGGTCAGTCGCATACCAGCATGGATGAAGGAGAACCTTTCTTTCATCCATGATACCAGAGTGCGTGGTGCGTGTTATCGGCGTGCAGTGTCTGCAGTGGGGATTGAATTACGGGGTACTGGAGTGCGATTCATTCTCAAGTATTTTGATCGGGAAATTTGAAACAAGTTAAGCTTTCATGATCGGGGAATTGGAAACAAATTTACTTCAGTGTGTAAACTTGCCGAAATTTTTCTAGCGTCTTACCTTAGTAAGACGCTAGAAAAATAAACAACTGCGAAACCGGGGGCCTCGGGAGCCCGTTTTGTCCCCTCAGGGCTCAGAGGATGTCCCCGAACGGCTCTAACCGACGAAAAGCCCTCGAACGATTGATGTGTGACCTCAATAGGCCGGTGATTCGGGATCCTCACTAGCCGATTTAGCACGCCTAGGAGCCCGTATAGGGCCTCCAGAAGTTCATTTGGGGTCTTCAGGAACCAACTGCGGACCTTCAGAGATAGGTGTGGAACCCCAGAGAGGCTGAAATCGGTTTGGCCCCTCAAAGGTCGCTGGGATCATTTCCTTAGGTGCGGCGTGGGGCCCGAAGTCGCTCATATCAAATGAAAGGGGCCCAAAGACGACGTTGGGGTCGGTCATGAGCTTCATCAGCTATTGAATCAGCTATTTGGGTCAGCCTTTGTAGCGGAGCCCTGACATATTTTGGGGGTGCAAAATATGTGTTTGCAGTTTGCTCCCATCGGCCATCCGGCCCTATTGAATGGGGATGCAGTGCACACCTTTTACCCCTTCTTCCGTCCCCAGGCCATGGTTGTCATCTTATGGTCATTCAATCGCTGTGGCTTCCTACTTAGCCCCCTGTGACCAAAAACCCAGCCAATCTCGCGTCCTGCGCTACCTGTGCGGAGCGGCAGCCGGACACCCGCCGACCACGGGTCTCTGTAGTCCGACGACCTTTCGCAGCTGCTCGGGTCCCTCACACCGTGGCCTGTCGGTGCGCCGTGGCCGCCCGCGTAACGGCCAGCGAGGCGGGGAGGGGAAACTTACGCAACCCCAGTCA